GTAAGATATCGCTGCAGTTATACAGCCCTCAGTCGATCAAGGTACAGTGAAGGTGATAGTTCGTTATCTTTCAGTATTTTTGTATCTATCTATCTATGCATCTATCTGTCTCCCACACTTCCTATATTCCTCTCTCCCTTTTTACCAATCTCTTCTTTCTTTCTCTTTATTTCTTCGTTACACCACTTCCCTCGTCTCGTTCTATTCCCCCTTCTTACTCTTTCTCGTTCCTTTCGTTGTATCGTTCTCCCATTTTCTCCTTTTTCCCCCTCGATTTCTCCCCTCTTCCAAGCGTCTCTCCTCTTTTTCCCTCCCTCTCTCTCGATGTCAGTTATGCACATACAGTCTTTTATTTTTTCCCCCACGCCCATTTCTCCCTCATGTCGACGGTTTCTGACCCACTTTCGCCCCCTCCCCCCCTTGAAAAAAACAACGGCGCGCCCTCCACACTCGCCTCGACCAGCTGCCGTTAAGAGCGCAAGCACCACCTGAAGAACCGGCGCTGCCAGCTCCCGTCCCTCGCTGCTAGCCTCGTCGCTCTCTGCTTTCGTGCTGTTTTTCCCTCCTCCGTTCTTGTCTCGTGTCGTTTTTTCGTTTTTTGTTGTTGTTGTTTGTTTGTTTCTTATTCCTTTTGTTCATGTTCTTATTTCTCTTTTCGTTCCCTTTCTTTCTTCAACCTCTTTTCCGGCTCTCGACTTACTGTTCCTTTCCTGTTGATACTCCTTTCCAACTTTCTCCTCCTCATCCACCTTCCCATTCTTCCTTGTTCTCCTCATCATCATCCTCATCCTCCACTCTGCATTCTCATCCTCATTCTCCCTCACTCCTTCTTGTCCTCCTCGTCCTCCTTACCTCTTGCTTGTCCTCCCCCTCTTTCTCCTTTCTTCCCCCTCGTCCTTCCCTCCTCCCCGTCCTCCCCTCCTCCTCGTCCTTCCCTCCTCCTCCTCCTTCCCTCCTCCTCGTCCTTCCCTCGTTCCCTCCTCCTCCTTCTTCCCTCCTTCTCGTCCTTCCCTCCTCCTCGTCCTTCCCTCCTTCCCTCCTCCTCGTCCTTCCCTCCTTCCCTCCTCCTCGTCCTTCCCTCCTTCCCTCCTCCTCGTCCTCCCCTCCTTCCCTCCTCCTCGTCCTTCCCTCCTTCCCTCCTCCTCGTCCTTCCCTCCTCCCCTCCCTCCTCGTCCTTCCCTCCTTCCCTCCTTCACTCCTCCTCGTCCTCCCCTCCTTCCCTCCTCCTCGTCCTTCCCTCCTTCCCTCCTCCCCATCCTTCCCTCCTTCCCTCCTTCCCTCCTCCTCTCCTCCTTTTCGCGCAGGCCTCCCACTTCCCCTAAGCTGCAGAGTGCGTGTGATCCTGACCCCGTCGCGTCCAGGCTTGTGTAGGCGCCAAACATCAAAGTTGAAGCTGCTGGCGAGCTGACCCGAGTAATCCCCAGGTTCAGGCTCGCTCTCCAGCTTTTTTTTTCTTTCTCTCTCTCTCTCTCTCTCTCTCTCTCTCTCTCTCTCTCTCTCTCTCTCTCTCTCTCTCTCTCTCTCTCTCTCTCTCTCTGTCTTTCGTGTTCTCTTTCTTGTTTTTTTTCTGTCTATCTATTTATTTCTCTGTTTGCTTTTCTTAGTCTCTCTTCTCTGTCTCTGTCTCTCTTCTCTCTCTCCCTCTCTCCCTCCTCTCCCTCCTCTCCTCCCTCCCCTTCCCCTCCCCCTCCCCCTCCCAATCTCGCCCTCACTCTCCCTCCCTCCCCCCTCTCTCTCCCTCTTTTTCTCGTTCGTTCGTTCGTCGTGGAAGTCTGACAACTGCCCTTGGTCACGTGGGAACACAAAGCAGAGTAGTGTTGCTCAGCACTTGGCACTCGTTCTGTTTGTTTACTTGTAAATGTGTATGTATGTCTGTATATTTGTGTGTGTGTTTGTGTATGTATGTATGTATGTATGTATATGTGTGCGTGTATGTGTGTGTATTATATATATATATATATATATATATATATATATATATATATATATATATATATATATATATATATATATATATATATATATATATTGTGTGTGTGTGTGTGCGTGTGCGTGTATGTATGTATGTATATCCTACTTTATCCTTCTCTTTTCCATCACCCATTCTCCCCTTCTCCCCGTCCTTTTATCTTCTCATCTCTTTCCTCTCATTTTCTCCACCATCGTTCCTCTTATCTTCCACTTCCTTTGTCCTCCGTTTCTCTCCTTTCTCGACCCTTCTCCGCGCCTCCGCCCTTGCCTCTTCCTGCAGCCGCTCCCCTCTGTCCTTGCTTTATCACCCTCTTGCTCTCTCGTCTCCGCCCTGCCTTTCCCCTCGCCCCGTCCGCCCATCACACGAGGGCGGTTTCCAATCCACCCACCTCTTTCCCCTTCCCCTTGTCTTTTCCCCTTCCTCTTCCCCTTCCTCTTCCCCTTCCCCTGCCTTCCCCTCTGCCGAATACTCGCTTACCCTCTCCTCCTCCCCTCCTCTCCTCCTCTCCCCCTCTCCTCCTCTCCTCCTCCTCTCCCCCTCTCCCCCTCTCCTCCTCTCCTCCTCTCCTCCTCTCCCCCTCTCCTCCTCCTCTCCTCCTCTCCTCCTCTCCTCCTCTCCTCTCCCCCTCGCCTGCCCCCTTGTTATCCACCGACTTCCTCTTTCCCTTTCCATTGAGCCTCCGCTTCGCACTGCCTTCTGTCCCTTTTATTGTCGCCATCATCATTCTGCGTTCGGTTTTCTTCGTCAGCGAACTCCCTGCTCTTTCCATTTTTCATCGCGGGCTCGCATGCCCCTGCCTCGCTCTTTATCGCTTTCTCTCTCTCTGTTCTTTTTTCCTGTCTGTTTGTCTCTTTTTCTTTTTATCTCTTTCTTTCTTTCTCCCTCCCTCCCTCCTTCCCTCCCTCCTTCCCTCCCTCCCTACCTCCCTCCCTCCCTCTCTCTCTCTCTCTCTCTCTCTCTCTCTCTCTCTCTCTCTCTCTCTCTCTCTCTCTCTCTCTCTCTCTCTCTCTCTCTCTTCTCTCTCTCTCTCTCTCGTCTCCTCCCCTCCTTCCCTCCTCTCCCCTCCCCTCCCATCTCCTCTAATCCATCCACCCATCTATCTATCTCCTCTTCTTCCTACATCCCACCCGTTCATCCCTGTCCTCCTTCCCCTCTTCTTTCACTCTCTCGTTATCTCTGTATGTTATCTACATCTCTGTTCATACATACATAAACACCATACATACATATTCATACATACATACATACATACATACATACATACATACATGCAAACGTATGCAATAGGTACTCCCTCTCTTTATCATTCTTCGTTTGTTTCTTAAATGTGTGTGTGTGCGTGCGTGTGTGTGTGTGTGTGTGTGTGTGTGTGTGTGTGTGTGTGTGTGTGTGATACAGACCCGTTGATTTATTTGCATATGTTATTTTTCTGCATTTATGTGAGGAGTTGGTGGTTGGTGACCGAAGGTTATTTGATTGCTCTTGGAAGCAGACCGATATACAACAATCAAAGGCACTCACAGTTACACGCAAACGCACATGCATATACACCAGAAAACACACACACACACACACACACACACACACACACACACACACACACACACAACTCACGCACACACGAACACACACTCCGTCGTTACGTGCCATTGCCATTATGATTTTCCGTTATTATTTTGGCCCTGTCCCCCACCCCCCCATCCCCCCCAGCAGCCGGTGGTCCTCCGATGAGCTCTCGTTTCGCTCCGATCTATCTATCTACGGGTTGCATAGACGCGGGGTTGACTGGCACGCTCCCTAATCTATTTGGCGTCCCCCTCCGCCTTTCTTCTCTTCCTCTCGCCTTCCCTCTTCTCATTTTTCTTCTTCAGTCCGCTCTCGCTCTCTCTCTCTTTCTCTCTTTCTCTTTCTCTCTTTTTCTCTTTCTCTCTTTCTCTTTCTTTCTCTCTCTCTCTTTCTTTCTCTTTCTCTTTCTCTCTTTTTCTCTTTCTCTTTCTCTCTTTTTCTCTTTCTTTCTCTCTCTCTTTTTCTTTCTCTTTCTCTCTCTTTTTCTTTCTCTCTCTCTCTCTTTTTCTTTCTCTCTCTCTCTCTCTCGCTCTCTCTCTTTCTCTTTCTCTCTCTCTCTTTCTCTCTTACTCTCTCTCTCTCTCTTTCTCTCTCTCTCTCTCTCTCTCTCTCTCTCTCTCTCTCTCTCTCTCTCTCTTCCCCCTCCAGCTCTCTCGGCCATTCTCTTTTATCAGCCCCCTTCTTCCTTCCTTCCTGTCTTTAATCTTTAATCCACACCTCCTCCTCTCGCCCACTCCCTATATTCCGATTCTTGCTTTTTTTCTGTTTTTTTTTTTTTGTCTGTCTATTGCTCCTCTTTCTCAGTCTCGTTCTCCTCCTCCTTCTCTAATCTTGTTCCTCCCCTTTTTCCTTTCCTGTCCTCTTTCCTCGCTTCCTCTCTCCTCGTCCTTTCCCTTCCTTCTCTTCCCCTCTTGCCCCTCCTCCTTTCCCTCCTCTTTCCCTTTCCCTTACTGCCTCTTCGCTCTCCTTCTCCTCCCCTCTTTTCTACACCAGTCCTTCACCTCCCCCTCCCCTTTCCTTCTTCCCCCCCCCTTCCCCGCTCCTCTCCCCCCTCCCCTCTTCCCCCTCCCCTCCCCCTCCCCCTCCCCCTCGTCCTCGTCCTTCTCCTATTCCTCCCCCCCTCCTCCTCCTCGTCCTCCTCCTCCTCCTCCTCCTCCTCCTCCTCCTCCTCCTCCTCCTCCTCCTCCTCTCCTCTCATTCCTCTTCTCCTTTCCCCTTCCATACCCGCTCTCACGCTCATCCGCGTACCCCCCCCCCCCCCTCGGCGTGCCATCCGGGATCCAAATACAGCCTTTCCCGTGACGTCATAGAGGCCTCGCACTTCTGAAAGATTAACATACACACAAAAGATGAAAATATGAATAAAAACAATATATAATTTTTTTATACTCTTTATTTGTTTATTCGTCGTTTGTTCCTTTTTCTTTTTCTTTTTTTTCCTTCTTCTCGGACGATTCTTATTGCCTATTGATCATATTTGAGAGCCGCTGCCGCTGTCGCTAACAACATCGGCCGTGCCACCAGCTCTGCCACCAGTGCAACGGATCGGTTCCAACAGCGTAAAAAAGAAATCGACATTTTCAGCTATTCTGACTTTTGTTATCACTTTCCGCCACAACAACCGCAGCCACAGCGAGTTATGAATATTAACAGCACACTCCTCACCGCTACAGCAGGACAGCAGCAACAGCAACAACAACAACCATAACATTATACGCTGCAATGTCACAATGCCCGTATACATAAAACTACCATTACATACGACGCACGTTCGCATAAACAGTCACTTTGCAACGGAGTCTAGAATGCCATAGATAGATAGAGGCCAGGCACCACACAGTGTGCGACCCCCGCACGCGAAAGCACCATAGCTCACCACCCACACGCTGGTGCACCAAAGCACCATGATATTGCACTGTCACTGGCCACGGACGTCGCGACACACGCGCGCACATACACGCACGCAGGCACACAAACACACAAACACACACACACACACACACACACACACACACACACACACACACACACACACACACACACACACACACACACACACACACACACACACACACACAGCGCGGCCGACGAGAGCCACGGGCGGAGGCATCGCAGCCACACGCAGAGACACCGCAGCAGCAGCAGCACCGGCACACTAAAACCAAGAAGGTAAATGACACCGCCAACATTCGGGAGCTAGGACCCCCGCCCCCCTTCCTCCATCCACTTCCTCGCCCCCCCCCCTCCTCCCTCCCCAAGCAACGCCTCCACCCCCAGCAGCAGCACCACCAACACACAGGTACAGCCGTGGCGAGACATGGGCCGGTCAGACAGCCAGCAGCAGCAGCAGGCAGCAGTGGTGCTCCTGGCGGCGACGGGGTAGCGGCAGCG